CGGCATGTAATGCCTTAAGAGAGAACATTATGAAAATGATATACAGGTGGTACATGACACCAGTCAAGCTTGCAAAAATCTATCATTTGCCCGACAATAAGTGTTGGAAATGTAAAGAAACTGAAGGGACATTCTTTCACCTTTGGTGGACGTGCCCAAGGATTAAGGCTTTCTGGGAGATGATATATAATGAAATGAAAAAGGTATTTAAATATACCTTCCTGAAGAAACCAGAGGCCTTTCTCCTGGGCATTGTCGGCCAATTGGTGCCAAAGAAGGATAGAACTTTCTTTATGTATGCTACAACAGCAGCGAGAATACTTATTGCAAAGTATTGGAAGACACAAGATCTACCCACACTGGAAGAATGGCAGATGAAGGTGATGGACTACATGGAACTGGCGGAGATGACCGGCAGAATCCGAGACCAGGGAGAAGAGTCGGTGGAAGAAGATTGGAAGAAATTTAAGGACTATCTACAGAAATATTGCAAGATTAATGAATGTTAGAATGATGTTGGAATGAAGTTAAGTGGTTATTAAGGTTTATGTAAAAATGGATTGTTAATAGATGGGAACTTGAAGTAATAATATACTAAGATTAAGGATTAAGATAAGAACAAAAAGGGAAAGGATTTGCTGAATTAACTAACTGATTTGGGATGCAAAAAAGGGAGGCGTGAGGAGGTCTGGGAAATAAGTGAATGAAAGACAAGATATGGAAATACTGATTTGTTTTTAATTGTTATTCTATTTTTTCTGTTTTTTGTATTTTATTTTCTCTTTTTCTCTTTTTGTTTTTTTTGTATTACTGTAATTTTGTTTGAAACTTTAATAAATATTATTTAAAAATAAATAAATAAATAAAAAATTTTGGGGCCCCCAAGAGAGTGGAGCCCTAAGCTATAGCTTGTTTAGCTTATATGTAAATCCGGCACTGGTATGACTCTGTAGTGAAAATAGGCACACACAGTCAGGTACTGAGACTACAGAAAAAGGTATGGGGTTGCAGCAAGTCATTTAATTATCATGCCTCATGCAATAACTATATTTCAATATCTTAATGAAGTTCCAGTAAAGCATGTAATTGTTTTACATGTAATTGTTTTTCCTGGCCCCAATGAATTTTTGCACCCAGGGCAACCGCCCAGAGTACCAGCATCATTTTTTCTCGTAACAAAGCACTGGTCAAAGCACACAAAGTTCAACATTCACTGAGGTCTGAGACCTGCCTTTTATGCCCGAAAAAGGGTCTCTCCAGCCAAATGTTTTAAATTTGGATGGAATTCAGACCCTGCTCTCCCCAATCAGGCCAAAACTGATGGGATCAAGCTGTATGTTCACTGCCTTAATCAATTAGAACTCACTGGTTTTCAATCCACTGTGTCTTAAGACTGAAACCTCAATCTCAGAACAATTTTTGCTCTGACACAAAGTGGCAGTTAATTGAACAGCCACCAGCAATCTCCCCTCTGATATTTTGCATACATCACAGCTCTTAACAGAGAACTGAGACATTTTATAGCCGGTTAACTCTTCCATTTTTTAAAGTGAATTTCCTTGTCCATTCTTTTATATATTTTACCCCAGAAATAAAATCTGATTTCTTCAAAGGGGCAAAAAGCAAGTTCTTATGTCTTGGAGAAGACTGAGACCAAGTTATTTTCCTTATCATCTAGTTTTCTATAGGGAGGGTTTTTGTATGGAGAAATATTCCATTAGAATTAGGTGTTGCCTACCACTGGCAGATACCTGTACCTATACTGCCACCAAGTGTCTGCATGAAAACTCACAGATGCCTGATGTTTTTCTGAGCTCTGTCCCAAATGGTGTTGGCAAACTCATTTGAAAATCAGACTTCAAATGCCCTGGGTTGCCCTCAACCCAGGGCAGACAATTCACAGCTACCTGCTACAGATCATAGCAATGCTGCTGCCTGCCACCATCACCGGTAGCTGCATCATGAGGGTCTCACTGATGCCAGGGATGCCACCAGAAGACATTTTGCTGTGTCCCCTCACAGCTGGCATCAGGCCATACCCAGAGGCAGCAGAGAAGAGGATGAACATAAGGACTTGTGAAAGGGTGGAGTGAGGGGCACAATGGTAATACAGTGGTACCTCGCAAGACGAATGCCTCGCAAGACGGAAAACTCGCAAGAAGAAAGAGTTTTCCGTTTTTCGAGGTGCTTCGCCAGACGAATTTCCCTATGGGCTTGCTTCGCAAGAAGAAAGCCCATAGGGAAATCTCCGGGGACCTCTTTTAAAATGCTGGCGGTCGGGAGCAATGCTTTCGCCCACCGCCGGCCTTCAGAAGATGTCCAGAACATTTGCGGGGGGCAAAAGTCTTTGCTCCCGACCGCCTGCCTATCCCGACGGCTTTTGAAGGCAGGCGGGGGGGAGGGGAGCAAAGAAGTCTCCGCTGTCCCGGGGCTTTAAAAATGCTGGCGGTTGGCAGCAAAGCCCTCCTGTCCCTGGAGCTTGCGGGGAGGGAGGTGGGGAGAAGGGCTGTCTTCCCACCGCCAGCCTTCAGAACAGCCTTCTGAAGGCTGGCGGTGGGAAGAAAAGCCCTTGTCCCCCCCCCCCAGCCTTCAGAAGAGGTCGGGGAACAGACTGTCCCTGGACCTGGTCTGAAGGCGGTTTCCATAGGAATGCATTGATTGATTTTCAATGCATTCCTATGGGAAACCGTGCTTCGCAAGACAAAAAACTCGCAAGAAGAAAAAACTCGCAGAACGAATTAATTTCGTCTTGCGAGGTACCACTGTATCCTGTCTCAGTACCCCAGAGCATTGAAAGACAAGAGGCAAGTGCAACCTATTTATTCACTTAAATCAGGAAAAGGAACCTTTGTCCCTCCAAAAGCTGTTTGGCTTCATCAGCCCCAGGCAGCATGGCAGTCCCTCGTGGCAAAAACAGAGAATTACCGTACCCAGAATACAGTTTCCCTCTTTCTGTGCCATACTGATTTGGGGTTTATTTTTCTCAGTTTAATGCTAACTACCAAAATGGTCGATCTTACCCACTCCAGCATTAGGCTTTGAGCTGCCTAGTTCATCCTGGAATCTTGTTGTGCTTTTAATGTTAATCCATTCTACCCAGTATTACTAATGCACAATGAGTGAACAACTCAGCATATGCTTCCATCGTTTTATGGAAGCACACTTTCTTTTTGGAATTCTTTAGTTAGATTTCCACTAGATGGCATGAGCATTCCATTTTTTGCTCCAGCTCTGGGGCAAACAACATGCTGTATAACTTTCTGGAGGGATAGCTGTGTCAGCCTGTTCCAGAAATGACGGCAAAAGAGCCTTGTGGTTCCTTAAAAGCCAGCAGACTTGTTGCAGAATAAGCATTTGTGGACTACAGCCTGCCTCATCAGGTGTACAAAGTTTTATCCTCAGTTGGCAGATTTTATTTATGCATCTTTTTAAGTTGCCTTTGAAAACTATAGCTGTGCCAAGATGGTTTACATTAAAAGACAATACAGGTATACAATGCATTTCATATGTTTTGTTGTTGTTGTTGTTGTTGTTGTTTTTTAATAGCAACTATCTGTGGGCTGGTTGTAGTGTTCAGGATTGTGACTGTGCTGTATGGAGAGGGTTTTAAAACTCTTTCCTCCCAAGCTGATGTCCTGCCCCCACCTGTTATTTGCCCCCAGATTGATCCAATGGGAAGCTTTCTTCCTGGATAAAAAACAGCTAGGGGAGGTGCAAGTTCATTAGGACTACAGTATGAGAGCAAAGGGTTAACCTTCTGCATACAGTGGTACCTCGGATTAAGTACTTAATTCGTTCCGGAGGTCCGTTCTTGAAACTGTTCTTAACTTGAAGCACCACTTTAGCTAATGGGGCCTCCTGCTGCCGCCGCGCCGCCAGAGCACAATTTCTGTTCTCATCCTGAAGCAAAGTTCTTAACCTGAAGCACTATTTCTGGGTTAGCGGAGTCTGTAACCTGAAGCGTATGTAACCCAAGGTACCACTGTACTGGTACTGATTCTGATCCCCCTGGCAGCTGCTTTTTAAAAACCTGGATCATCAAGCTATCTATATACACATACAGTGGTACCTCAGGTTACATACGCTTCAGGTTACAGACTCTGCTAACCGAGAAATAGTGCTTCAGGATGAGAACAGAAATCGTGCTCCGGTGGCGTGGTGGCAGCAGGAGGCCCCATTAGCTAAAGTGGTGCTTCAGGTTAAGAACAGTTTCAGGTTAAGTATGGGCCTCCAGAACGAATTAAGTACTTAACCTGAGGTACCACTGTACATGCCTACAGAGCAGCTTCAATCCCATTTTTGGAGATGCTGGAGAATGAAGAGCCTGAGACAAGGAAACCGTGGAAGGGGGGGTGGAGAGAAATTGATGTTTAGTTTTCATTGTAATGTTTTATTGATGGTGGGAAATTGTAATGATGAGAAACATATCTACCATCCTCAGATAACTGGGGGAGCATTGTAGGCTGTGGTACAGACCATGGCTGTTTCAAAGCCTGGTGGAGCCTGGTTTTATTCCTGGTGCCAATAACTGGCTGCTACCCAGGAGCCACAGGACTTGGGCAAGTGCACCTATATTGCTGCTGAACTCAACTGCCTCTGTTACTTAAAACCATGCAAAACTTGGTCCTCTGCATATTTAGCTGCCAATTAAGTGGCTTGTTAGGATTTCAGCTTGTTTGATTCCCTGTATATCCATATACCTCCTATCCTGAAAGCCTCAAACACATTTACCATTAAAGAAAACATGAAGCCTTTCATGATATTAAGGCAATAATGACTTGGATTATTCGGAAGGCATGTCTTTTGATGTTGTGTACTATCACAGTAGCAAGGAACGAGAGAAAATGAAGCACCATAGTCCAGCTCCAGCAAAGCTGTTTGCTAATATGAACACAAACCCAGTCATAAATCGGCATATATCATCATCCTATACCTGCTTCTTTAATGAGTTACTTTCTGACTGACAGAATGCTGATAACATCCTTCAGATTTGCATGCTGTCTGCACCTGTGCTCTTTAGCCTGGAACCTTGAAGTCAGAGTTGTTTGTACGATCCTGTTGTCTGTCTTCCTTGTTTTGGTCCATTCTGCAGAACAGAACACTTGGAATAGCTGGTGTTATGAAATATTTTTTCCTTTGATCTAAGACGAGGGGGAAGAATGCCTTGTCATTTATAGTCTGGGTTCATACGCCGACCAAGTCATAAAATACTAAAGATTCAGAAGAGATGCTTCATATTTATTAACTCCTTGTGTCTTACTGGTATACCAGATTTTCTGATAAATTGTTTGTTTGTTTATTAAATTTCTATACTGCTTTATATTTTTAAGAAAAAAATCTCAAAGCAGTTTCTAAGCTACATTGCAACATTAAACAGAGGGCAGAATTCTTGTATTTCTGGGAGTTGGACTAGATGACCCTTGGGGTCCTTTCAAATATTATTCTAAAGCAATCTAGAATAAAACATTAAAGAAGAAAGTCAAATATAAAGGGTATATTCAAAGCAGCATAACTAACAGGAAACTAAAATATTATCTTTAAGATTTTAAAGCAAAACATTACAAAGGAGGTCAAGTACAGAATGCACATTTACTCACTCCAATGACATCTCTCTAGATTTTATTGAGACAGGGGCACATGAATCACTTCCCAACCAACTTATGGCTTGCAAAATCGGATATGGAGATTTGCATTTCCTTTAGGCTGTGATTGCCATTGAGTATGGCAACAGCATGACCTATAAACAAGGTTGAAGTATCAACAGGCTTGGGGAAAACCGAAGGTTTTGCAGAAGTACAAAAAAGCATTTATTTAAAAAATCCTCTTTGGAAGATGGGCCTTCTAAAATAGTTCAGTGAGTACTGATTATATTCAATGCAGCCTGTTGCAAGGGAAGATTCTAGGGTTACCATATTTCAAAAGTAAAATTCCTGACAAAAATTCGGCAAAATTTCCCCGACGCCATTTTTACACCCAAAAACCAGGATGTCAGGAATTTTCCTGATGTATGGTAAGCCTAAAAGAACAGAATGGCTGGAATCTTGAACTCAGAACAACAGACCTCAACATGTACCTGCAGTTTCTCACTGGATGCATAAGGAAGGTTATTTTTCTAGGGGAAAGCCTGTACTGTATCTGGAAAATGTGTTATGTGAACCAACCCTTACAGTTCATGGGACATTTCAGAATTACACACATTCTGGATAACAGCAAGCTTTGCTCCTGAAGCATTTACTTGAATGTTCCCCCCAACACCACATTTTCCTGATATAGGACTATTGTGATTACCAGTACTTACATTCATTGGAAGGTAAGTGTGGTATTATTGTTGTTTAGTCGTTTAGTCGTGTCCGACTCTTCGTGACCCCATGGACCAGAGCACGCCAGGCACTCCTGTCTTCCACTGCCTCCTGCAGTTTGGTCAGATTCAAGTGTGGTATATGAATGAAATAAACAAAAAAAAGTGTGTTGTACTCTGTGAGACAGACATGGCCACAGCTGAACCACCTCCCATAATGTTGTTGTTGAGTAGCAGTGTGTATAAAACCTTCCATTGCAATATTTTGCAATGTGGTATTAGTCATAAAAATATAGCATGCAAAGTGGCCTTGAGAGTGTATGGCAGTTGCTGACATGAACTTCTTTGATTTCTCTAGGCACCACCAGTAGATGGCACTAGAAGGCTAAGCAACAGGGTTTAACCTGGCGGCCTTGATGACCTGGAGAGGTTCTGAAAACAATCAGGTTTCTGAGGCATTTTGAACTTTCAAAATGGGCTGTACCTCCTGGGCCTACCCAACCCAGCATGAATTTGTTCCACGCGTGAGAACCCAGAGATCTTTGCGTGCCCTTCTGTGCAGACAACCTACCGCTGTGTGCAAGGGCCTGAGGATGAGGACATTAATCTCAGCCCTGGAATTAGAAAAGGCATAGATGCTTCTTAACGCTTCAGAAAGCCTAAAGGCAAAGCAGCAGCTCTTTCTGAACCACCTTCTTCTCAAATCATGTTGGCACGATAGGGCACGGAAACTGCAGCCATCCACAATCTGCTACGGCTCACTGAGGATCCTCTGTCCAGAGGCAGATTTAGGGGAGCGTGACCAGTTCAGCTGCACTGCGCATGGGGCCTCAGGGGCGTCACAACTGTAATGTAAAATGGAGGTGGGGGCACCAAATTTTGGTGTTGCACAGGGCACCGTTGAAATTTGAGACACCAAAGCCCACCGCTGCTCTTCCAGGGCTCATTCAGTGCACCGAGGTTCTTGCTGGTGAGAGAGAAGGTTGCCACTTGGTCTTGGATTTGATTCCCACCTTAGAGCTTTATGCAGGAGATGCTGACAAAGCTTGCCTTCACCACAGCTGAGATTAAATGGTGTACTGCTGTTCCATTTCCCACTTCAGCAAAGTGATTTGTCCATTCCTCACCGTTGCACCTGCTAACAAGTCAAAGTGAATTGGTAGAAGAATGTCAGCTCATTTGAAATGCCTGCAAAGCTTCTCTTGCTTGACAGGGAGGGGACTGCTGTCTCCCTTCCCCCCCCCCCCGATAAAATCGACCCCCAACACCTGTAGCAAACACCACGCACAAAGTGAATCTGGAAAACTGCCACACAGCAACGTCTCTGTAAAATAGTGGTTACTTGCTGCAAAAAACTAGAAAAACTTTTATCAAGCATGTTTTGATTCAGCCGGTGGCAGTGCAGTTGTTGAGAGCATTGGGCTAGAACTGGGGAAAAGGTAAAGGTAAAGGTACCCCTGCCCGTACGGGCCAGTCTTGACAGACTCTGGGGTTGTGCGCCCATCTCACTCAAGAGGCCGGGGGCCAGCGCTGTCCGGAGACACTTCCGGGTCACGTGGCCAGCGTGACAAAGCTGCATCTGGCGAGCCAGCGCAGCACACAGAACGCCGTTTACCTTCCCGCTGGTACGCGGTCCCTATTTATCTACTTGCACCCGGGGGTGCTTTCGAACTGCTAGGTTGGCAGGCGCTGGGACCGAGCAGCGGGAGCGCACCCCGCCGTGGGGATTCGAACCGCCGACCTTTCGATCGGCAAGCCCTAGGCACTGAGGCTTTTACCCACAGCGCCACCCGTGTCAAACTGGGGAAACCAGGGTTCAAATCCCTACTCAGCCATGAAGCTCACTTTGGGCCAGGCACTGTCTCTCAGCCTAAACTACCTTACAGGGCTTTTATGAGGATAACATGTGCAGGGGGAGAACTGTGTATGCCACCTTGAGCAGCCTTGGAGGAAAAGTGAGATATAAATGTAATAAAAAAGTAAAGAAACACTAGTGTGCACGTTCAAGACCGCTTAATTAACGTAGCTTAATTATCTCACAACTTCACTGAACACCCAGTCAAATCACAATCAAGGTGGTAAGAGGGGTAGATTTTTCTCCACTCCCTTTCAGTGTGTATTTGCTGTTGAACTGCTTTGACTTGTATTGATTCTGTTGCTATAAGCAAAATAATAAGTAGGCACAGCACATGCTTTTAAAAGGCACAGGTTTTGTGGTGTGTGTGTTTACAATAGAACACATATTTAAACCTTGCTGTAAGTCTTATCTTCCTGCCCCTGAGTGGCACAACTCATTTGAGATCTCCTTCATCAGCTGGTATTCGGAGACAAGCTGCCTCTGATCCTGGAGATAGCCAAAATCTAAGCTCTTTGAGATAAGTCACTATTGTTTCTTGCCACACACGGAAAACAACAGCCAGAGGTGCTACTTTGCTCATGTTCTGCTTGTGGGTTCCCATAGGCACCTGTTGAGCCATGGTGGGAGAAAGGATGTGCACTAGATAGTCCTCTAGTCTGATTCAACAGGGCTCTTCTTTGGTTCTTGTTATGTCCCAGCTGATCCCAGGACAGCAGAAGCAGCTGCCTGCAGGAAGATTTACATAAAAATGCAGTAACCAAGCCAGCACACCTAGGTAAGTCACCTCCTCTAGGGCAAAGGATTTAAAATGCTTTTCTCAATTCTGAGCTGAACCAAGAGGTACACAAAAAAGAAAACCAGCCAACCTCATGCACTGGCAGCTCCAAATCAGAAGCCTTCAGAGCGTGCTTTGCAGAGCTTCACTCTGCCCACTTAAAATTTCTGGCTCCACTAACCCATATCCTGCTATGAATCAGACCAAAGCAAGTTGCAGTCTGGGGCAGTCTTCTTCCTACCTCAGCCCAGACCATTTTGTAACAGGCTACACCTCTTGTGGTCTGGCATCTAGGCATATTTGTCAAACCCTAGGGACAAAACAACTTGGGACGCGGGTGGCGCTGTGGGTTAAACCACAGAGCCTAGGACTTGCCGATCAGAAGGTCGGCGGTTCGAATCCCCATGACGGGGTGAGCTCCCGTTGCTCGGTCACTGCTCCTGCCCACCTAGCAGTTCGAAAGCACATCAAAGTGCAAGTAGATAAATAGGTACCTCTCCAGCGGGAAGGGAGGGAGTCCTAAACCCAGAACTTCTGTGGCAGCTCTCTGCTGGGATAGCCACTCCACCCCACAATGTCCACATGTTAAAACATCACATTTACATAGAGCCCCAAATATACATTGCAAATGTGTATGGGCTTCAACCATGAGATGTGTACATCACAAAACGTACAGGGCGTACAGTTTGTGGAGGCCCCATGGAAAAAGTGACCTGCAATGCACAGAGAGGGCAAGTGTTGTGTAAGTAGCCAAGTATTGCTCAGGAAGAAACTATTATCAAATTGATGGGATTGTGCGCAGTGTATCCAGGGACTTCTAGATCTTAATCTCTGAGCCATTCTAGTACAGCTGTGTGCCGTGAAGCTGTGAGAAAGGATGAGCATCTTTAGAAGAATATCTTCTAAAATGAAATTGGCTACATGTACAAAACCTGCATACGTTGTGCTTGTGCTGTTATTAATTACAACAAGAGATTTAGTATGCTTCCACCTCTTCAAACTTAAATAAGAGTTGTTTGGTGAAAGAGATTAATAGTGGTTGGCAAACAGAATAATTTGAGCAATGTAGTTATCTTTTTTGGGAAATATGCCTCTCAGGGAGTATGAAATAAAGAAAAAATAATGATCTTCCCATATTGGATTTTACAAGAAATAAATTAGGTACAATTTAACATTTAGCCCAGTGTGCAGGTCAAGTGCTGAAGCAAATTTCAGAAAACCAAGATCAAAAGGCTCCCCTCAAGGAACCACAAAGCAGAAACACAAACAGCTAACCTTTACGCAGAGTAGACCCATTGAAATTAATGGACTTAAGGTAGTCATGGCCATACATTTCAGTGTATCTACTTTGTGTAAACAAAATCTACAGATAAAGGTGAAATAATTCAAAAATCGTGCATCACTCCTTGAAACAATACATAAATATATAACTGAAGTAACAATGCCAAATAACACCTCTTAGACACATATAACAACCAAAGGATTGACCAAGGGTCATAACACCCCCCCATTTTATCATATTTAAACATATGTACCACCACCATTTCCCCCCTCTAAATCATGAAAAATGATTGCTCATTTCTATTTTTTTCAGATATATGTAGGTCAATGAGGAAAGAAAACTAATATTTAAAAACAAGGTTAAAAACAGCATGTTCTGTGTTTCCAACATCATGTTACATCAAGAGGAAGCAGAGGCAATTTAGGTGTTTAGAACAAAGAAATAATTTTCTAAGCTATACATCAATCCGTTGCATTACAAGAAGAGTGATCCAGTGACATGTACATGAAGTTTCATTTGTGGGGAGAGAGCTTTGAAACATTTGTGCATTTATATAAGCAAGGCAATTTACAACAATAAAAACTCAATTCACTTAAAAATAGAGTATTAAAAGCCCGAACAGAATGGCTAAAACAGAAGCAAGATTAAAATATGTTGACTGCCAGATCAGAATATACACTCATTCTGATAGTTCATGAACAATGTATACATTTTTAGCGCACGTGGTTCCCTAAATCCCCTTTATATCTTGAGATCTACGGCTGACCCCATCATTAGCAGAGTGAGGCAGTTGCCTCAGGCAGCAAATACTGGAGGGCAGCTCTGGCAGCATCCATAGCCATTACTTCTGAGCCCTGGCTATTCCTTTCTGTTCTAGTTCACGGCTATGTGTGCCACACAGTCCATCAGGTAGCCCCTAAACTTACCTGTTGCCCTCAGTGGAAGATGCTATGTTGGATAAATTAAAAGAGGGTTCCTAAACTGGAGGTTACCCTCACAAAAACCCAAAAGGAAAAAAATGCAGACACCAAATGAAAATATAGGCCTTTACTGAAATACAAATGTGCATAGGGACAGCCTCAAAAATAGACAGGACTGCAAAGAACCACAGCCAAAACAATATTTTTATACACTTCTAGATTACATATGTGATTTCTATTCACTAGTCAAAGGATCACAGCAATCTTTATAGTTGCAACCCAATGTCATCATGTTGAACAAATCAAAACAATTTGGTTCTTTGGATCATCCCTCATCATCATGTGATTACATATTTTTGAGTGTCTTTCCCTATTAAAGCTTTGACTAATTTTCCTATTCATTAAATGTCTCCCAATCTCCTCTTTCATCTGTTTACAAAACGATTCAAGATTAACCACAATTGCCATGCCTAGCTGATTCTCTTTTCATGCTTACAGTGGCCACCATAGATTTTAACAGTTTGTTCTTTTCAGTGTTGTAGAACAGACATTCGCTACATACAGAACCCAAAAGCAGCTTGTTCTGTACAGTGGTACCTCAGAAGTCAAACAGAATCCATTCCAGAAGTCCGTTTGACTTCCAAAACATTCGGAAACCAAGACGCAGCTTCCGATTGGCTGCAGGAAGCTCCTCCAGCCAATCGGAAGCCACGGAAGTTGCGTCGGACATTCGGGTTCCAAAGAACATTTGCAAACTGCAACACTCACTTCCGGGTTTGCGGTGTTTGGGAACCAAAACCTTTGACTCAAAGGCGTTTGGGATCCAAGGTATGACTGTACTATAAAAGGTAGGAAGGCACTGGAGCTGGAATAAAGGGTAATATGTACTCAGTCAAAAATGCCTTCAGATTCAATGGGATTCAATGGCCTACTAACAAATTTAGGCTGCGGAATAAAGTTGATTTAGAGCTCTTGCACAACAAACCCACCTCCCCAGAAATCAGATTTTTGTGATAAGAAAGTGATAGAAAAATGCAGTGGAAAGCTTAGGGATAGCACCCGCTTTGATGCGATGTTGTGTAGCCTCCACATGAACAAATCTGAGTAAATGCTCATTAAATAGCCGACATCATTTAATCTTCCTGAAAACAGATCAGGATAACAGATCAACAGATACATTGTCTGGACATGCCAAAAAGCTAACTCTAGTTTGGGAAGTTCTATGCCAGAAAGTCAAAGGATATGTTGTTTCTTTGCATACATGAACCGCATAGGCCTCTGAGTAACAGGCTGTACTCCAACT